GATGTGGCTTGCTTGTTGGGCCTGCACCCTCCTCCTTCCTGCAGGGAATCACAACAGAGACGAACCTGGGTAAACCCTGGACGCCTCACCTTACCTCGGTCCACCCTCTGCAGCACTCCAGCAGCCATTCCTGTCTGCTGTGTGACATCAGCCCTGAGTGCAATGCTGTGGTGACAGATGCCGTGTTGTGTGCCAGGCTCTGCTGGATGCTCTGACGGTGCTCTCGCCTTTCACACGCTGACACCCTCAGATGTGGCAGGGTACTCCTGGGCTCCCAGTCACACTGGCAAGCCACTAGGCTGTGTGCCTGTACCTTCCTGGCAGAAGGATTTGTGATTGCCTTTTAGATGCTAGTACCCACGACTTGTCACTCTTCGATGACTGAGCACCTGTTGTGTGCCTGGCACATAGCAGTTGCTGTTGGAGGAGGACAGGTGTAGAAAACAGGTTTAGGCTCAGTGTGTCGCACTGTGCTGAGGATTTGGGACTGTGTGTTGGGGTGGTCTGCAGTGGGTCTTGATGGTTGGTTAGGAGTTGGCCAAGGACGGGAGTGGGAAGAGGGGGGCTGCCGAGGGGACAGTGAGATGCTCGGCTGACTCTACAGAACCTGGAGGAGGCAGTGAGGCAGGCTGGAGGGATGCGTTGTCACCAGTCTGTGCCAAGACACAGAGGTAGCTGGATCCAAAGAGGAGCTTCCAGGAAAGGCTGTGCGCTGAAGCCGTGGCTTGCTCTTGCCTCAGCATCAGGGCAGAGGAGTAGCAGGGCTGGAGGCTGGGGCAGGACCAGGCTGGAGCAGGGGACTGGACCTGAAGTAACCTAGAGTGTGGGAAGGGACCCATGGGAGGAGCTTCCCAACAGCTGTCCTTCTGAGCTCAGTGGTTAGCATTTCATCTCCTGCAGGACTCATGTTGGTGGCTGAAGGTGTTGGTTGCACCATCTGATCAGTGGTTGTTGTTGTTGTTTGAATAGTAAGACACTGACTGTCGTGTAGCCCAGGTTGGCCTCAAGTTCCCTGTGTGGTCAGAAGTGGTTTTGAATTCCTCTTGCCTGGGTTTCTCAAATGCTGGGATTTTTAGGTGTGCACACGCTCCAGTGAACAATATTCTTAGCCCCTTTCATATACAAACAGTAGCAGCTAAGTAATACATTGTCCTGTTTACCTTAAGGTGTCTTAGCGGTCTTTCAAATACATCTGCAACTGTATACTTAACACTTGGTGCGTTTTATGGACCAATTCCCCCACCTATACCTATATCAAATGTTTCTTGGGGTTGGAGAGATGGCTTAGTGGGTGGAGCACGTATGACCCAAGCACAAGGATCTGAGCATAAACTCTGTATATGCCATGCTGCCCCAGCACTGTGAGAGACGGAGACAGGAAGACTGCTGGGGTTTACCGGCTACCGCCCAGCTCCAGGTTCAGTGAGAGACCCTGTCTCAAGGGAATATGACAGAAAGTGACATCCTTCTCTGGCTTCTGGAATGTGCACAGGCATGCAGTCCTCACACGTGTGCCTGTACAACACACACAAATCTGTATCATATTAACAGCAGTGATGTAGTAATTACACCACATGGCACATTCTGATTTGTTAACCCATCTCCACTTGAGGGATAGTTAGTGTTTGTAAAAAGCTGCTGGGCGGTGGTGGTGCACGCCTCTGATCCCAGAACTCCGGCAGAGGCAGGTGGATCTCTGAGTTGGAAGCCAACCTGTTCTACAGAGTGAGTTTCAGGACAGCCAGGACTACACAGAGAAACCCTGTCTCTGAAAACAAAAGGTTGTGATGACCATTGTAAGTCTGTTAAGTTATGTAAGTCAGATAAATTATTTTTTATTGTTACTTGTTTATTGACAGAGTCTCACTATATAGCTCTGTCTGGCCTGGAACTTACTAGGTGGACCAGGCTGGCCTCAGACTCAATGAGTTTCACCTGCCTCTGTCTCCTGAGTGCTAAGATCAAAGTCTTCCTAGTTTATTATTTATATTTATGTTAAAAAGTAATCATTATTTTAGAGGGTTTTTTTTTTTTTTTGGTTTGGTTTTTCGAGACAGGGTTTCTCTGTGTAGTCCTGGCTGTCTTGGAACCCACTCAGGAGACCAGGCTGGCCTCGAATTCACAGAGATCCACCTGTCTCTGCCTCCCAAGTGCTGAGATTAAAGTCGTGTGCCACCACTGCCCAGCATGTTAGAGATTATTATTTTAAGCTGGCCTGGAACTTAGAGTCATTCTGCCTCAGCCTCAGCAAATTGCTAGGATACCAAGCGCCTGCTTTGGGTTGACGTGGGTCAAGTTGTGTGTAAGAGCTTCACCAATTCTGCTCTCAGCCTGTCACTGTCCTGACACATGCCTCGCCAGTGGTGTGGTTTTTGTCTCCGGGTAGATTGCACCTCAGCAGACTTACATTATCCCTGTCTTAAGGTCCCATCTTGGACTTGATTTTGGAGTTGTAGAAGCCAAGACCGTACGTAAGCCATTCCCCAGACAAGGAAGTGAGCTCAGACCACGCTCTGTCCCACTCAATCCAGCCCTCATTCTTTTGCAGACAAGCATGAAACAAAGCTGAAGGGGGTCATCTACTTCCAGGCCATCGAGGAAGTATACTATGACCATCTGCGCAGCGCAGCCAAGGTGAGGCAGCGGGGACCGGAGCGTGACTGCGGGGATACCCCGCCCGGGAAGGGTGCTGCAGTGGTGTGCTGGGCGCGAAGGCCTCGCCTGTCCTCTGCTCGGCTGCGCTTCACCAGTTCTCTTCCTTTCTTCCTCTCCTCATCCCAGAAAAGGTTTTTCCACTTCACTATGGTGACTGAGGTACCCCTGCCCCACATGCCTGTGACTAGAACTGCTCATATTAACAGCTCCCGTGCCTTACGGCCCCTGACCTCTGACTCCCTTCTCTGCCCCTCTAACCTGCTCCAGGCCAGAGAGGGAGCAAGGAGCTCCTGAGGATTGAAGCTCACTTGTTGCCTCACTTTCTGGCCATGGCGTAGCCCTGAGGGCATGGACAATACAGACAGGGGAGAAGAGGGGCGCAGGGCAGCAGGGGAGAGTGCAGGCTCTAGATTGGAGTTGACAAAGGGGGTTGTTGGAGGCCGAGCCAGCTAGCTTTATGCAAGCTGCCCTGTCTCTTGCCAGCCCTCAGAACCCACCTAACCTCTGCTCCCCTAGGGTATGGGCTGCTTCCTACTTACAGCCTTTTCCTGCCTCTCTTTGGCTTAGAAAAGAATCAGGTTCTCCCTGGGACAACCCTCATAACAGATTGTCTTGTATTAATTTTGGAACTGAGGTATGCCCCTGTTGGGGTTGCAAGGGTTTGAGAGCCTAACCCTGCCATGTGTTAGGATGAACCCTGGGGACCAGACTTTGGCCTGTTTCAGACCAAATGGGGGCACACACCTTTAATCCGAGCACTTGGGAGGCAGAGACAGGTGGGTTTCTGTGAGGTGGAGGCCAGCCTGGTCTACAGAGTGAGTTCCAGGACAGCCAGAGCTACACAGAAAGAAACCCTATCTTGAACGTCGCCCCCCCCAAAGACGCAGCCTTAAATTCAGGGCTTCCTGGGACTTTGAGGAGAAAGGCAGACAGGAGAACAAGTCGGGGACATGGAGCTCTCCTCAGCACTTCTTCCTTGCCTCGGCAGAGTCCGAATCCAGCCCTCACCTTCTGCGTGAAGACGCATGACCGGCTGTACTACATGGTGGCCCCATCGGCAGAGGCCATGCGCATCTGGATGGATGTCATTGTCACAGGAGCTGAGGGCTACACTCAGTTCATGAACTAACGGCCACGCACTTCCTGGGTCCCCAGGTCAGCCCCAGGACCTGTGCCCTGCCGCTCGAGGCTCAGCTTGTCCCTGGAGACGGCGGGGCACTGGGCCACGAAGGATTGGGAGGTAGTCGAGTACCCCCAGGGTTTTTGTGCAAGAAGACAAATTGTTCTGTGAAGTTAGGTGCTTGAGGGTTGGGCTTGGGTCCCTAAAGAGCCAGCAGAGGGGAGAGGGAGAGGCTTCGTTGCCTCTTGGGAGCCCAGAAGTTCAGGGTTCCCTCCTGGGTCTGTCAGGCCTGAAGAGGTGTCACAGAGCGGGGCTCTCAATTCTGTCCTGGTACCTGCTCACCCCGGCTTGCTTTCTCTTTGTAAAGGACAAATTATGGTACCAGAATCTGCCAAAGATCCCCTTCTCATCTTAACCCCTGTGCAGGGGCTTGCGGGGGGAGGGGTGCTGAGCAGAGCCATGTATAGAGTTGGGAACAGCTCAGGTCTGACTCCTCGTTCTCCCACCTCCATACTCTCCACCACTCTGCTCAAGGACCAGAGACCTCAAGTGTCACCCTTGAGGTCCAGCCCCATCTTCCTGTTGCAAACCCATCCCCATGGTCTCCATGGTGACTGCTTCATCACCGTGGTTACACACTAATTGCCATGGCCACGCTGTGGCTCGGCCCACTGCTTCAGCTGTGGGCCAAGTGAAGGTACGTGCCATCATCTCTCCAACCTGGGCCTGGGGGCATGTCGCCTGGCAGGAGGCAGCACCACCTTCCTGGAGTGGCGTCTCCAGCCCCCAGTCCAGCCCTCTCCCTTCCACTGTGCCTTGCTTAGAGCCAGAAGGGACGGTGTTCGGGGGTCCGAGTCCAGAGATGCTGCAGCGGCACGGACGGGAGAGGAAGCCGAGTCGCTGCCCTCCCGTTCTGACAGGACCGGTTCCCAATAAGGCAGGAGCGTAGCTCAGGGCGCCCAGACGGAAGCCTGAGCTGCGGGGTGGGGAGGTGGGAGCAGGGGCCCCGAGCTGTGGTGCCCTCCCCTCAGTTTCCCAAGGGTGATGGGAAAGAGTGGAGGATCGGGTCCCCAGCTGGCTGGCTTCAGCCTTTGCGCCTTAACACTAAGCCGCCTTCCCCGCCCTCCCCAGCACCGGACCCTGGGCCGCTGGGCCTGGCTGGGTGTTTTGCAGTATTTGTAAACACTTCAGCAGAACAATAATAAAGGCATTTTGACTATGTACATGTGTGTGGAAGTCCAGGTTGTATGTGGTACCGGGTGGGGCACTTGAGCCATTTGGATCCCGTTTTCCCAAGAGTAGGGCTTTCCACCCTAGTGAAGGTTACAGGGGGAATCCAGTCCCCAGGCTTGACCTGGTCACCTCTAGCTCCAGGGCACTGTGAACAGGACAGCCGGAGGTGGGCTGCGTGTGAGGCAGCAGAAGGAAGGGGTGGAGTCAGAGGAGGAAGTGAGGCCATTTTCATCCTTTTAGTCAATGTAGCAGAAAGCTGGTAAGAAGGGCCGCCACTAGGCAGTGGGGTCCCAGGGAAGCCATCTGGGTCCCTGAAGTCAGCTGGTCACCATAACGGTCCAGAAGCATCAGGGCCAGTCCGTTGGTCCAACCAAATCCTTCCTGGAGAGAGGCCAGATCACTGAGGACCCCAAGCCCTGTTTGGGGATCCCCTGTTCCCAGTGATGGCCCCAGGGGCACCAATGATTACCATTCAGTATCTCCCTCATAGGCCCACTTACTGGGCATCTCGCACCTAAGCCGGGCATACACGTTCTGGGGACAGCGAGCAGACCCTAAGAGTTGCCTGCCACGGTGTGTTGATCCTAGCTTGCTCACCTGAACTTCATACTCCCCTCCACCACCTGGATGTCCACCGTTGCTGATGTCATACTAGGGGCAAAAGCATGAGTTGTGCAAGGGTACTGCCACTAAGCCAACCACCCCAGCTGTAGGGGCAACAGCCACTGAGGGAACAGTGCACCAGGCTGCCGCTCAGGCCCCTGCAGTACCCAGGAACGGCCACTGGGGGCCGCACTGTGCTGGCTGTGCTGTCTCAGGCCTGGCAATGCCTGCCACGTGTCCCACTTCAACCATGGAAGAGACCCCGGATGAGACAGGCATAGCCCAGCCAGCTGCTCACCTTCTCATACATTGCTGATGTTTGGGAGTAGACTTTGAAGTTGGTTCTGATCCAATTCTGGGCCAGCTGGAAAGCCACCTCCCGAGTCCGAGGGGAATCTGACTTGGCCAAACCTAAGACGCCACCCCAGATAAGGCCTGAACATTCAGAGACACCATGCTGGACAGAACAGAAGCCTGGGCAGGAAGGGGTCTAGGCCTTCAGGTCTCCTTTCTGGACCTGTGGACTCCCAAGCTCTTAATCCAGGGCCTGGGATTGGAGGGAAGGAGAGGTGGCTGGGCCTATCAGCTGACTGCTTTCCTACCTCTGATGACCAGGTCCTGCAGGGGCGCCCAGGCATTGGGCGAGTCCCATTGCTGGCCTGTGTTGCGAAGAGAGGTTGGGATCCCATACTGGTAGGTCAAGATCTGGTTGTCCTGGAAGGTTCCAGACATTGGTGTGACTGTGGGTGGCGGCTGAAGCCAGAGCCAAGGACGCTGGGCCCTCAGGGAAGGCAGATCTGCCCCTCCTGACCTTTCACTTCCTGCCTCACGGCGGCTCCGCTGCTCCCAGTGGCCTCAGCAAGATTTGCAGGTGAAGACAAGCAATGCCCGCAGGGAGGGAGGGCCCCGCCTCCAGGACTCCAGCCCCGCCTCCAGGCCTCCAGCCCCGCCTCCGGGACGCCGGCCCCGCCCACTGTCCCCTTACCTCCAAGTATTTCAGAGCCTTGTCAATGACGCTGGGGTCTGAGAAGCAGCCAGCCCAGAGTGGGGTGAGGTTGGAGGGATAAAACTCCAGGTTCTTCTCCCGTTTTTCCAAGTCATAGTCGAACCAGGCTCCCTTCTGCTCGTCCCACAGGACGGCCTCCATGGCAGCCAAGCGCTGGGACTGCAAATTTCTGTACTTGGTGGCCTCGGTGTCATTCCCTGTGTGGCATTGCCTTTAGTCTTACTAGATAGGACACTAGACGCTGCCCTTGGGTCCCTGGATTTAGAGGTCTTTACTTTGCCCTCTTCGTATGTGGTGCCTACACAGGCTAAGAATCCTAAGGGCAAGGACCATGACTCCCCAGTGCCCACTAGAACTCATGGCTCCTTGAACTAATAGGCCTGCCCAGCCTACGGAGACTTGCTGGTCCGTCTCCCGAGTTCATTTTTCTGATGACCTTGCTCTGAGGGAGCTAAGGAAAGCTTTGGGGAGGAGAGAGATCTGATAGATGCACAAGTGTCCCCTCACAGGCCCTAGAGTCCTCAAAAAAGGGGGGGCAGCAGTGTGAAGATAAGGGTGGACTCGAAGTCATTTTCTTCTGTCAACGCCTCTATCGAGGTGAAGGCTGGACGGCCTCCTCACCTAGTCTAGAGTAGAATTTACTCATCAGCCCCTCCGCTTGGCACAGGAAAGCGTTCAGATCAACAGGCACTATTTTGCTGGTTCGGATGCTGCTTAGCAAATCAGGGTTTGGGCCTCCGACAAGCCAGCGTGAGGAGAAGTCCCAGCCAGACTCAGCCCCAGCCTTGAGCTCAGTCCACAGATTCTCCCGGTCCCCTGTAAGGCCAGCATAGCAACCTCAGGGCAGAACTGACTGGAGGGGCAAGCAGCCACAGATCAAAGCCAGACATACAGAGGCTCGGTACCGCCCCGCCAGCCCTTCCTCCTGACCCTGCTTACCTTCTGGTACAGTGTTTGCCAAGTCTGCATCCTTGCTGTAGGACTCTGGCCTAGCAAAGAGAAGGACAAGTGTGACATCAGTCGGTACTAAACCACGCGGCTCAATCAGAAGGCTCAGTCATCCTGCCTCAACCCCCACCCCTCCCCTCCAACCCCTGACACACACAGCGTAAGGGGACCTGAGGCTCTCAGAGTCACATCTGATAAGGCACCTCACCCCCTCCAGCTCTAGAGATGTTCACATCAGAGTGAGCAGACAAGGGACTGGTGGCAGGTCTTTTTCTCACCTGGGTCCCCCATAAGGGACATAGTAACGGTTCAAGTTATAGCTTCGTCCTCCTGAGTTCACAATGACAGTTCTGTTCACAGTCCAGAAGTCCAGTTCTGAGGCTAGAGTTCCAATGCTCTCCCTGGGGTGGGGTAAGCAACACCTCAGATCATGTACACAGCCACTGCCCTTGGCCCTGGGGATTCTCCAGCATCAGATATGCTTCAGGCCAGCATGGGCAGGGTACTCACTGCAGGAAGCTGACATTCTGGGTGTGAGTCACGTATAGATCCATCATGAGAGTCAGGAGTGGCGGCTGGCTCCGTTGCAGGTAATACACACGTCCACCATTGGGGATGTGTCCGTAGCTGCCAAGAGGGGCTCTGCTTAGATACTCCCTGGCCCAGCGCCAAGGCAAGCCCAGCTCCCTGCCTGTGATCTTTCTTACGTCTCCACCAGATCCAGAAAGTTCTGTAGCATGCCCTTCACCGTTGACACCATCTCGGAGAGAAGCAGGCCTTCCATCACCCAGTAGGAGTCCCTGGCAGAAGGAGTAGGTGCATGTCATCTAGCCTTCACCCTTTGCCCGGCACTCCCATGTTCGAGGTGCTGTCCCTGGGTTCTTCCCAGCTGCTGGCCTTCGTGAGCCCCTAGCCTCCCAGATGTGGACTCTCACCAGTAGTAGAATTCAACAAAACGCCCTCCGGGCACGATGAAGGGGTGTTCTGAGTAGATCAGGGAGAACCTCTCAGGGTAGCTGAGAATCTCCGGTTTCATCTGGAGTTAAGAAAGAGGGCACAGGGGAGCCTAGCATCAGCCTGAGGGTGGCGGCTGCAGAGGGGAGGGGTAGAGGGCCTGGCAGCCCTGACTGGGGCGGGAGAAGGGGAGAGGCTTGTTCCTTCTGTTTTCTGTGTAGTCCAGGAAGGCACTAGGAGTCTTGGTGTCCTCACTCTCCACCTGCCGGCCTCAGGGGTCCTGGCTCAGCCTGGTGGTCTGCTGAGGCCTGGCCCACTCAGCATGGAATCGGACAGGTAAGACTAAGTGAATGAGGCAAGGCTGTGGAGATCTCCCTTAATTCCCCCAATACCCCTGCTGCTGCTTGAAGTCAAATAAGTGAAACTCGTCCAGTCCCCCTTCCTGAATGACTAAACCCATGCTCTTTTCCCGGGGACAGCTGAGGAGATCGGGAGGTAGTGAGGACTGGCATGGGCCCCTTGGGTCCTTCTTCAGCTTGTTCCTGCCAGGCGTGAGTGTGTGAGCTCAACCAGCCTCAGTCATTGTCAGCAAGCAGCAGAATGGGGATCGGATATGGACCTACTGGACTGGCTGGTCCTGTCAGCCTTACGGCAGACCACCAGGTAGGCAAGAGAAGTCCCTCAGCACGGGGCTGAACACAGGCTGGCCACACGCAACCAAAATGACTGAGCCTGCTCCTAAACTCAGGAAGGGAGAGAGGCAGAGGACAAGACCCTTTGCCATGCTCCTCCAGGCTACAGGGGGCAGCATTGGGTCGCCTGCTGGTCACCAGGTTAGCTTGTTTGCATGGGTGGTTCCCTGGAGGATGTGAGGGGTTAGAAGAAGATGTTCCCTTCGTGTTTTCTGGAAGGTTTCTATTTAGGGATCAGGGGTATGTGCTGTGTTCTTGGGAAATATCTGTGCTCTCAGGCACTGTGGGTCAACAGGTGCGGCTCTGTCCCATGCCTGAAGCACTGGGCCAGGTCATGAAGCAGGTCCAGGCCATTGCTACCTTCTTCCCCAGCCTTTTCCAGATCTGGTGCAGTTGCTCAGCCCAGGCGCGCAGTTTGGCATCTGAGATCTTCTGCAGGAACTGAGGGCTAGAAAAGATGACCCCACAAGGTTCATGGAGGCAGCCCCAAGTAAGGGGCCCTGCCCTTTCTTCTCTGCAGGGTGTCACCTGTCTTTCCAGTCCTCTGGGACCCAGGGATCCAGCTCCTGTCCCACGGGCTGAAAATGCCTCTGGACAAACTCCTGAAGCTGTCCCCGGGGGATGCTGTGGTTGTGTGCCGCAGCCAGCTCGTTGAAACTCTGCAGGACTTCATCTGGAGAGCAGGAGACATCAAGGGATCAGCGGGTAACCCGAGACCACACCCTGACCAGGTAAGCCTACGCTGCTCACACATCTTCCTACTTTAGGAAGAAGGTTCAGGAGAAGGCAAGGTGATTTTACCTGGAGATGTGACCAGTGACATATCCACAAACTGCTTGTCATCTTGGTAGAGCTTAGCCATCTGAATTTGGTGCAAGAGCTCCCCATGGCAGTAAATCTGGCTGCAGAGACAGTCGGGTAGTAGAGATCAGCAGATGCGGCTGCAGCATGGGACAGACAACAACTTCTTCTTCATGTGACCCTGGATGTCCTGGAGTTAGATATGTAGATCAGACTGGCCTCTAACTCAGAGATCTGCCTGCTTCTGCCTCCCGAGTGTCAGGATTAAAGCCATGTGTCTCTAAGCCTGGCTGTGGAAATGCCTTAATAAATCTTTCCCAAGCTGGGTGTGGTGGCATAAGCCTTTAATTGAAGAACTCAGGATTCAGAGGTGGGCGGATCTCTGAGTTAAAAACCAGCCTGGTCTACAAAGGGAGTTCTAGGACAGCCAGGGCTGCTGCACAAAGAGACCCTGTGAAAACTCCTTTCTATGATGCAATCATTTGGTCCAGGATACCCTGCTTGGGGTTTCAGGGAGGAGCCTATTGCATCTAGACATCCCCGGAGAAGCTTAGTCCTATGAATAATTTCTATGACCCACAAGAGGTTCTGGGCTTATAGGTGTCCACAGGGTCCCTCTGGAAGGCTATGTTCTCTGCTGATAAGCAGTTTGGGAGAAGGTAAGAACAGTTACTGGCATGCTCTGTGCTGTTGGCCTCATGGTAATGGCAAAATCAAAAGATAAAAGTCCCTATAGATAAAAGAAAGACACCAGCCTTCAGTCTCTGGTCTTGCACATATACATGAAGAGGAGTATGTACACACACACAATTTTTCTTTTCTTTTTCTCTCTTTGATTCCCTCTTTTTTTTTTTTTTTTTTGGTTTTTCCAGACACGGTTTCTGTGCGTAACAACCCTGACTGTCCTGGAACTCACTTTGTAGACCAGGCTGGCCTCAAACTCACAGAGATCCACCTGCCTTTGCCTCCCAAGTGCTGGAACTAAAGGCATGTGCCACCACCTCCCAGCTACAATTTTTCTTTTAAAAAGTCTTTATAGGTATTTTTTAATGATTCATTGGGCAGATGAGCAGTGACAAACTGATCTATTAAATCACTTTCCAGAAATCACTATAGATATTAAAGGGGGTCATGAAAGCAGCTGTGCAGACTTTTATGTAAATGAAAATGCTCAAAACTCTATAAAGTGCTGTCTTGGGGCAGAAAGTATTGTGCCAATGCGAGGCCAGCCTGGGTTACAGAGTGAGAGTGAAAGGAAAGGAAAGAGAGAGAGAGAGAGAGAGAGAGAGAGAGAGAGAGAGAGAGAGAGAGAGAGAGAGAGAGAGAGAGGAAGGGACCGGAGAGATGGATCAGCAGCTAAGAGCACATTCTGGCGATGCTGAGGTCTTGAATTCACTTCCCAGTATCCTCTGCAGGTGCAGGTGACACACAACCTCTTGTAACCCAGGGGATCTGATGCCTTCTTCTGACTCCTAAGGACACTGCACTCACATTCGCATGACCACACACATAGACTTACAAATTTTCAGGAAGAATAAGAAGAAGAAGGAAGAGGAGGAGGAGGAGGGAGGGAGGGAGGAGGAGGAGAAAGAGGAGGAGGAGGAGGAGGAAAGAGAGAGGTGTGGGGAAGGATACAGTGCCCAGAGGCCATCAGTAGGACAAGTGATATCACATCAAATGGACATGCTGGGAATTGAACCTAAGTTCTCTGCAAGTGCTCTTAACTGATGAGCCACCTCTCTAGTTTCTCGTTATTTTCTGTGTTTATTTTTGAGACAGGGTCTCACTCTGCAAACTAGGATGGCCTTGAACTCACAAAGACCCACCTACCTCTGCCTTTTTTTAAAAATGAGATGGGTAAGCTGATCTCAAATTCTAGATCCTCTTGCCTCAGCCTCCTGGGTGCTGAGGTTTACAAATGTGTGCCTCCAAGCTCAGCCTGGGCTTAATGAGAAGTATCAAGAGGGAAAGATCTATTAATTAGAGCAAGCATATCTCTCCCAGGAGGGGAACAAAAGTTGGAAAAAATGAAGAGGAGGATCAGGCCAAGTCCATGAATAATGCTAGATAATGCCAGGAGCCAACCCTGGGGATGGGCAGCACACTGCCCCAGCAGGGCCTCCTGGTTACTTAATGAATATTGAGGGCAAGTAGCCATGGACAACACTCTGCCCCAGCTGCCAGGGCTCAAGGGAAAAGTGTTATGGCCGTCTACCATAGTCTCTGGAGACTTACAATATGCATCACCTCCCTTACTCCAAGGGCGGAAGACACACCCCCTGGGACACTAGGAAGGATAGCGACTCTTCTGAGGGTCACTTGTGCCCTCCCTTTAGTAGGGCCTGGGCTCTGTAGTATAATGGCACGCATGGGAACCAGATTTGGTCCCAGCTTGTAAAATGAGATAGGATGGCTGACTTTGTTCCCAAGGAACCTGGAGACCAGAAAATAATGAACACACACAACCCCTACCCCAGCAGTGATGCCTGTATACCATATTTTGGCAAATAGATGAGGCCAAGAAAATTTCTCTGTGATTGTCACAGACTTGTCTATAAGGAAACTTAATGGCATTGTGATGTGGTGGGGTGCTGATGTCGCTGGTAAGTTTAAACTCATTTGGTGACACTGGTACTGGCAATCAAGGTCAAATATGCTGGGAGATGGAGAAGACGTCACCTGGACAGAACGCCAAAGGAGCAGGCTGGCTTGAGAAGACCTATAGTAGTTTCTGAACTAAGCAGCTCCACCAAATTTGTCCTAAGGCACAGCAACAGACCAAGGAGGGTTACCAAGTTAGTGAAAACACCCACAGATTAGGCAAGGTTGGCTGTTTCTTTACGTCCATTCCTAGTCTTCATCAAGTCTTTCAAATACTGTCATAGCCTGATTGATCTTATCACTGCGTCTTTTATGTAAGTTCTGTGCCAAGTGGAAATGTCCAGATATATAGAATGGTGCTGTTACACGAGTCTTGGCCAGGGGCTAGAGAGATGGCTCAGCAGTTAAGAGCGTTCGTTAGCTGCTCTTGCGGAGGACCTGGGTTCAATTCCCAGCATCCACATGGTGAATCTCAACCATTTCTGACTACAGCTTCAGGGTATCTGATGCCCTCTTCCGGCCTCCACAGGCACTGCATGCATGTGGTTTATTCATGGGCAGGCATAACACTTCTAAACATAAAATAATAAATAAATAAATAAATAAATAAATAAATAAAAGCATGGACCAGGCCTGGTGGCTCACATCTTTAATCCTAGCACTTGGGTGGCAAAGGCATGTGAATCTCTATGAGTTTGAGGCCCGCCTGGTCTACATAGTGAGTTCCAGGACAGCCAGGGTTACATAGAGAGATCCTGTCTCAAAAAAAAAACCAAAATCAATTAATTAATATTTTTTTAAAAAAAGAATCTTGACCAAGGTCAGAATAGCTGTGAATTAGGCAATTAGGTTCTGACACTAGTCAGTCCCCACATGTTTAGGACATAGTCTAATAGTAAAGCCGCCCTGACTTCAGATGGTGGTTATAAATTTGAGGGTCTTCGGGCTGTTTATAATTTGAAGCGACTGGCCACAAATTGCTGGCCTGTGGGAATTTTTAAATGCTGGCTGATAGTCACAGCGTCATTTCCTTGCTTGGGAACAACCACCCTGGCACCTGGAGCTTGTAGCCTCAGTCCTGCTGCTGGGATCACAGCATCAGGGAAGAGAGAAAAAGCTTGAGTGACAAGAAAACAACAGCCCTGCTGTCCCTTCTCCACAGGAAGAACGGGCTTGTCAGGCCTCCTGCAGCCTCAGAACCTGTTCTTTAAGTCACCCAGAAAAGCTTGTGATAACAGACAGTCCCTCAGAGCTCCCCAAACCTGAGTGGGAGCCCACAACGTGTGAAGGCGTACAAGCTGACCCTTCATGTCCTTACCACTCACTGTTCCCTGCCATGCATGACACATGTCTCAACTGCCGCTTCTAATTCTCCTACTCCTTCTTCATTCAGGGTCTTATGCATCCTGGAGTGGCCTTGAGGTAGATATGGAGCCAAAGGTGACCTTGACCTTCTGAGCCCCCTGTCTCCACCTCCTGCGTAATGGGGATTATAGGAATAGACCACCCTACCCCATTTGTCCAGTGCTAGGGATCAACTTCCTGCATGATAGACAGGTGTTCTACCAACTGAGCTATACCCTCAAACCTTGAAGGGTAATATAATTGTTTTCCCATTATCTTTCTGCCTGACCATTGTGAACCAGACCATTAATCCCTGCTGAAGAGTTTGTGAAACCCAAACTCAACGGCAAAGAGACTCAATTCAGCCCGTGGAGTTGATTTTTTTATTTCCTTTGATCAAAACAGCATGCTCCGTGTTCACCTCAGAATAGACATTCATAAAACAATCGGTGGGTCCACTGAGGGTGTCCAGAGGGCACAGCCCTGTCTCTGAGAGCATCGTTCCAACATTTCCCAGGATGCCATAGTCTTTCTGGTCTCCACAGTATCTCATGCCCTTTAGTTTTAGGGGAAATTTCAGTATCTGATAGTAAGCTACTAATCACCTCACCAGCTAGAAGTTCTCCAGTCCAAAGTATCAGCAATTGTTCTGGAAAGGTGTAAAAGGCCACAGTGCCGAGGCCCGATCTTTGCCCCACAGAAGGCGAACAATCCCTTTGGGAGTGGTGGTGCATGCCCATTCTCAAGTGGGTGAGGCAGGAGGATTGAGAGTTGCAAATCAACCTAGACAGCACAGTGAGACCCTCTGAGCCACCTCACCAGCCCTACGGAGACAGGGTCTCAGGTAGCTCAAGGTGGCCTCCAACTTGATATGTAGCTGAGGATGACGTTCAGGCTGACTTTGAATTTGCAGTTCTCCTGCCTCCGCCTCCCTAGTGCTGGGATTAGAGGTAGGCACCACAATACTTTGCTTGGGCAGTGCTGGGATCAAACCAGGACTACGATAATGCCAGGGCAGGCCCTTTACCAGCTAAGCTACATCCCACCTCCTGCTTGTGTATTTGGTTTTTTGTTTGTTTTTAAGATTTTTAAAGTCAGGCGGCGGTGGTGGCACACACCTGAAACCCAGCACCCTGGAGGCAGGGGGTCACTGTGTAGACCAGGCTGGCCTCAAACTCAGACTCCTGAGCGCTGGGGTTAAAGGTGTGCGCTGCCACCACCCAGCTGATTATATTTTTCTTATTGGGAGAAAATCAGGATGAGCCAAATGAAGACACACACGGAAATGCGGGGAGACACCTGACTACTGTGATGTTCCTTACTGTGGAATCAAGATGCTTCACTCTCCAAACTCACTGGTATCTCCAACCAGAAAGTCTCACCCGTGTCTGGAATTTAGAGTTTGAGTCAGGGTCTTATTACAAAGAGCACAATTAGCTGAGTCACTAGTCAGCTTGGATGCTATGTTCTGGAACCTTCCTCTTCCTGACCTTCAAATGATATCGTGGGACCCAAAGGTCCAAGTCTCTAAACATACCCTTGTGTTTCTGGAGTGGCTGCCCCCATCTTGAGTCATCCTAGAAGCATGAGCTCCCTGGGCACATGCCACACGTCACCTTATTTTCATAAGACATGAAGGCCCATGATAAGCAACAAAGACAGTCTTATCATGTGAGGAATTCCAAGGGCTTAGAGATAACCTGCCAGGAACCCAAGAGGAAGACTTCGGGTCCTTCATCACAGCGGAAAAGCACTGATTGCAAGAGGCTGAGTTCCCACCTACTCATCACCAAGTTCCCGAGCCACCTGAGGGAGCAGGGCTAAAACACCAGAATGTGCTGCCGGGTGAGAGTTTACCTGGGATTTGGAACACACTGGCTATCTTAGACTAATGCTGTGGTTTATAATGGGGGCAGCAGACCACACAGTATCAGTCTAACCTTTGGAGACCTGGAGAGGTTACTGTGAGAGGCCCCAAAAAGAAACTCAACACAGAGTCAGGGGAGCCTCCTGGTTGGCAGTACTTCACGTGCACATGCCCTGGGAGAGGACAGCTGCAGGGTTGAGCTGCTTCTCTCCAGGACTCTGCCCTGTATACCTGTACCGTCAGTGGCTCTCATCCACAATGGCATGCCAGGGACAAGCAGCAGGCGCTCATGCTACCCATTCTCCAAACAGCCTGAAAGGACTCGAGACTGGATCAATAGCCACTCTGAAAACCCTGACTGCTGCTCAGACAAGCCTGCCAATTATCCCGGATCCTCCCTTCCCTTCCGCTCTCCACAACTGGTCATCAGCAAGTCTCCACAACTCGGTCTTCAGAACGCACCCCTTACAGATTCCGCCCCAGCCCAGTGCTGCCATCAGAGCATGAGCGCTGGTCTCCTTTTCCCTAGAGCCATCTCCACCTCATGGCCCGATCCTGCTTCCGTCCTGGCCACCTGGAACTTTGTGACCATTGAAAGACACCTAGGAGCCTTCGCACTGCAGACTCCTTGCCTTCCTGTCCCCTTCTGCTCAACGATGTCCCCTTCCACAGTTCTCCTCTGAGACTCGCTCCATCGTAACACCCTCTGTTTATTCCTTGCTTAGCTCCCCAGCTTCTCGTGGCTTTCCTCCCTCCGAGGCTCCACTTTACCCTTCTTGCAAGAGTTGGTGATGCAGGAGAGGCGTGAGAGCGTCTCCAGTCCGTGTGGAGGAGGGAATGGCAGCGCCATGTCCAGGAGGCAGGATGGCAACCCTCATCTTTGTACTTGCTGGGAGAGGCTTAGGCTCGGGAGAAAGGTTTGGCTTGCCCTGGGGCACAGAGAGAGCAACAGGGTAGACTGGACCTCATGGGCGCTTCACAGGCCCCTCACACCAGGCTAGGAAAGGTTTGCTCGAACAGTGGAGGGAATAACACTGCTCAGTCCAAGAAACGGCTTGGGTGAGCCCTGGCCAGCAGTACCGAAGGAGGGCTGTGGCCAACAGCTCTGGGGTCTCATATAGACTGCCTCAAAGTGCCATCTTGTCCCAACACAGTAAGTTCGGTGTCTGGCACAGGACCTACCCCACAAGCCCAACTTCCTTCCTCTCCCTCTGAGAGGCTGGCCCTCAGAGGGTGAGCTCACACCCCAGCCTTCCACCCCTGCCTTCCTTCGTATACTCAGCTTCCGCCAACTCCTACCTGTCACAGGGGGGTGGTAGGGCCTCCTGGGACCTGAGTCCCAGCCCCAGCAGAAGCAGCAGGTGCAGCTCCCAGGTCATCCTGGGCATGGTGGCTAGAACCCAATGAGCAAGCCGTGGCACCTCTGACGTGCTGAGCGCGGCCTGCTTCCCCTGCCTGCCCGGGTCAGGCAAAGTCCAGGCCCTGAGGTGTGGCCATTAACGTGGGATGTGCACTTCATTGTCCTGTGTAGTTAGCACTCTGCTCTTCAGCCACAGTGACCGCCACCCCATCAGGCACCATTGGTGTTTGTTTCTTCCATTTCTCCATCCAGCTGAAGTGACAAGTGCAGGGACTTTCCTCAGAGTCACATGGGTGGGCACCCAAGGTGGGTGCCACAGTTGAGGTCACCCATGTATGAGTTAGACACCAAGTCTGTGTGGTTCCCAAGCCACTAACATCAGAAGGGACCATTGCTTTCAACATTTTAAACAGAGTGGCTCAAGTCTTCTCCAATGTGATGTCAAATTCAGACCACCACTGTTATGGACAGGAGGCACTGTGGGGACACAGGACAGCTTTTCGGGGGATGGGTCGGGGAGAGACGCCATAGGATGATACCTTCAGTGAGTCTTGAGGAAAAAGTCAGGATTCCCTTCCTCCACGTGGGATGTCCAGAGACTTGGCATCGGTGCGTGGAGGTTGTGTGACAGGCTGAAGGCACCTGTTGGCACCAGTTGGTGAAAAGGTTTTGCCAAGACACAGAGGCATTCAGTTCTCCAAAGAGAACCAATGATGGCTGTGGGCTGAGGCAGCAGGGTTAGGATTCTAGAAGCTCACGCCTCCACACGGTGGCAAATGGTGGGTGAGGAGGGGAGAGGTGTGTTGGACAGAAACACAGAGCCCTTGGGAGGCTGCTCCAAGGACACACAATATAGGCCATCCAGATCTTGGACCAGAAATGGGAGAGGGGGTGGGGAGAGGCGCAGGGAGGAGGGAGGGGGTGCAGGGAGGAGTTTACTGGCGGCTGTCACTTCTGGGCTCTATGGTTGGCGTGTCCTTTCCTGGGACTGAGGCTGGCGGCCATCTGAGCAGTGTTTGTCAGGGCTAAAAGGAAAACCAGACAAATGACACTGAGTAGTGTTTACTTGAGCCAAGCAGGGATTCAGGAACCAGGTGGCACCTTGAGGCAGTGAAGGATTAGAGAACTTTAGCCCGATACCTGCAAGGCAGATTTATAAACAGTCAAAGGAAGTGATGTCAGTGGCAGCCCTTACCACTGGACACTTGCCTTATGTGGACTGGGAGCAGTTCTCAGCCTGTGACTGGCTGACAGCTGGCATCTGTGTTCGGCTACCTGTAAGGAGGTTCCCTCCAGTTAGACTCCACTCATTTCTCTCTAAGTTTGCAAAGCAGCTTCAGGCCAAATGTATTATTCAGCCTCTGAATTTGAAGAGAGTGACTAACTCCTTGGAACCAGATATCACCTTTTTTTTTTTTTTTTTTTTTTGGTTTTTTTACGAGACAGGGTTTCTCTGTATTGTTTTGGAGGCTGTCGGTCCAGCCCGGCCTCGAACTCACAGAGATCCACCTGCCTCTGCCTCCCGAGTGCTGGGATTAAAGGCATGTGCCACCACTGCCCAGCCAGATATCACTTTTTGTCACCGCTCTAGGAGACTTCTTTGGCCTTAGTATGGAATTCACAATTTGCAATGTCAGATTGACTGGTTGGTAATTCTTCCTTGGGATTTTGCTCTTCTCTTCAGATAGGATAAAACTGGTATAGAAAAGATGACTGCCAAGGAGCACCTAGTACTCTGGAGGGGAACAGGACACCAGAGAGATTAAAATGGAAGGTAACGCCAGGAAGCTGAAGGGCAGTCATCAGCGGGAGGTAATTAATCAGAATCAAGCAACTCAAAGTTCAGACCATGAGGACAGCTGACTGTCTCCTAACCCAGTAAGTCACAGTCTTTGTTCAGGGCCTGGTTGTCACTAAAGACCCACGGTTTGCTGTAAAGTGGCCTGAGTTGAAGAGCCAGCCATCTTGTGATTGTCCTGATGACACAGCATAGAAATCCCGAGTCCCATCTTTCTGCTTTGCAGAAAATGCAAGCCTTGGTCCCCAAGTGCAACAGTGTTCACAGGTGGGACTACTCTCGGGAGACGGTTGGATCAGAGTTTTCACCATCAGGAGAGCTTAACATTGGGAGGGGATGGAGACTGTGAGACCCGACTGAGGAAGTTGGCCTCGGAGAGTGTATCCATAAGTACATTTCCCCTTCTGTCTCATCACAGACTCCAAAGCAACTGGGCCAAATGCACACTAAAACATTTGAAAATGTGAGCCAAAAGAAACCTTCCCTCCTCTTTTTTTGTTTGTTTCTTGAGGTCGGGTCTCACTACATAGCTTTGGCTAATATGGAACTCACTATGTAGACCAGGCTGGTCTAGAACTCATAGAGATCCACCTGCCTCTGCCTTCCAAGGAGAAATTAAAGGAGTACACCACACCTCCCCGAAAGGTCCTCCTTTGCCAGGCAGTGGTGACTCACACCTTTAATCCCAGCACTCCGGAGGCAGAGGCAGGTGGATCTCTGTAAGGTCAGCCTGGTCTACAAAGCAAGTTCCAGGAAAGGCTTCAAAGCTACATACACAGAGAAATCCTGTCTTGAAGAACAAAATAAATCCAAGCAAACAAACAAAAAGTCTTCACTTAAATTGAGTGGTTCCTGTGGCTGAAGAGATGGCTCAGTGGTTAAGAGCACTGACTACTCTTCTGGAGGACCCGGGTTCGATTCCCAGCACCCACATGGCAGCTCATAACTGTAACTCCAGTTCCAGGGGATCCAACACCAATGCACATAAAATTTTTTAAATTTTATGGTTCCAGGGATTTTGTTATAGCAACGGGAAGCTCACTGCCACCAAAAGATACAGAAAACTTGAGAAGGGAGCCAGGCATGGCACCCAGTCTCAGCTATGTAGAGAGTATGAGGCTAGCCTAAGCTATGTTAGACCGTGTCTCCAGAGAAAAGAGAAAAAAGACTCACGGAAGAGCTGACTTCAAGTGGAGGAGTCAGGCAGGGTGCCTGCAAACCAGCTCTTAGCTGCTCTTAGAAACATTTCACACAGAGACTGGAGAGGTAGCTCAGTGGTTAAGAGCATTGACTGCTCTTCCAGAGGACTTAGGTTCAATTCCCAGCACCCATATGGCAGTTCACAACCGTCTCTAACTCCAGTTCCAAGGGACCCAACACCCTCACACAGAAATACATGTAGTCAAAACACCGAAAGAAACCTCCTTGTTGCCAGGTCAGGCCGTGTAAACACTTCCTGATGTACTCTGGACCCCAGCACTGGAGGCAGAGGAAGCTCTCTGTGAGTTTGGGTCAGCCTGCTCTACATAGTGAGTTCCAGGATAGCCAGGGCTAAAAGATGAGACCCTGGGAACTGGAGAGATGGCTCAGCAGTTAAGAGCACTGACTGTTCTTTCAGAGGACCTGAGCTCAATTCCCAGCAACCATATGATGGTTCACAACCACCTTGAATGAGATCTGGTGCCCTCTGCTGGCATGCAGGCAGAATGCTGTATACACAATAAATAAATAAAACTTTTTTTTTTAAAAACTGAGACCCTGTCTCAAAAAACAAGCAACTTCTCATGTTCCCTTTCTTCTTGAGAAATATGTCCAGTGGCCGTATCTATTTTTTAAAAAGGCTGTATTTACCATCCTGGGTGGGGTGGGATGAGGTAGTGGGTAGAAGCTGACAAGCCAGATGACCTGAGTTCAATCCCCAGAGCCCACTTGGGAGGAGAGAACTGACCTCGTCACACTGTGCACAAACTGAGAGCACTTGCACGCACACATGCATGAATACATAGACACATACATGCATAAACACATAGACATGCATGAAAACACAAGCACGCATGAATACACAGACACACACATGCACGAACACATAGACACACACACACACACACATGCGCGCGAGCGCGCTTGCCTGAATATAAATAATTAAAACGTTGAAATCTTCATAAAACACAAACCCCTGCCGTGAGCATAGAGGAGTTTCCACTGCTGCACACTGTTCCATTCCACGCTTTTATTGAGCACAGATGTTCACATCTGCCCTGTGGAGACCTCTTTCTAAGGAAGCTTCTGATTGGTTACCAAATCCAGAATTTCCTCTAATTTACAGATTGATCCTGATTTACTAAGCAACCTGGATTGGCCCTGAACCCAAAATTCTCCTGCCTCAGTCTTCCAACTGCTGAGACTACAGGCACCGGTCACCAGGCAACGTTAGTTCCACGCCTAGCCAGCACCCCGCTAGCAGAGAGTGTTACTAATTTTGCTTGTGGATTATTTCTTTTCCTGCTTATGAGGAGTGTAAGGGGTCCTTCAGGGACTATGAGCATGAGTAAGACCCAAAGCAACAAGAAGGCAGCGAGCAAATTCCTCCATAGCCGCAGGGCAGGCCCTCAGGGACTGGAAGACAGAGCCACCTAGTGGCCGCTGAGGAGAGTTGTTCTGCTTTGGATCTGTGTAGCCCTGAGCAAAGTCTACTGGGAAACTCGAGTGCCTTCTCTGTCTTCCTTTCTTACTCACTCTGTAGATCAGGCTGGATTCAAACTCAGAGAGGTGCACCTGTCTCTGCCTTCTGAGGGCTGCGATTAAAGGCGTCGTGTGCCACCCCCTACTGGCAGTTGTGGTCTCTTAGTTGCCTGCTATAAAGTCAGTCCATTAGGTCTGTTAGTTGAAAGAGACTTTGTCGGACATAACATAGTTGGACAGCGACGGGTGTTGGTGGCGCACGCCTTTAATCCCAGCACTCGGGAGGCAGAGGCAGGCAGATCTCTGTGAGTTCGAGACCAGCCTGGTCTACAAAGTGAGTTCCAGGACAGCCTCCAAAGCCACAGGGAAACCCTGCCACAAAAAACCAAAACAACAACAACAACAACAAACAAAACATAGTTGGACAGCATATAAGCATTTCCCATACCTATATAAGTAGTCCTCAGGTCATGAGTGCCTGATGCCTGGAAGCACAAAATGCCTTTTTCAGGCATCACTAGGACAGGGTTTGTATATTTGATGACAACTAGACTAACAGTAGAAAATATCAGAGTATTGTACTAATCCGTTTT